AAAGATCTGAAATAGAAAGAGTTCCCCTAAAACAAAAAAATAAAGTCTTAGTTCTAACTGAATAGTTGGGGTTTTTCCCTGAAGCAAACTTCAAATACCAGCCTCTAATTCCTTCCAGAGGAATTATCTTTTGAGTGGTTTGCTATAAAGTTTTTTCTGATAGCTATGTTGAAAAGTAAGGACATAGTAAGAAAGAAAAAAGAAATTCACACTCTTAGCTATTGCATCATTGTTACTTTAAAGCACTTTCTGATTTAGATTTCAGAGCGAACTGATTTTTCAGTTCTCTTTTTAGGAATAGTCAGCATGAAAAACTTGGAAGAGTTTGGTGTCTTATGAAAATTACCATCATTCAACATAAATACAAACAAAATGACTCCAAAGTGGGACTGCCCAATGTCTAAAGAAAAAAAAAAGCCCCATCAGATAAAAATGTCTTTAAAAATCTTTAACTGCTGCAATCACAATGATAGAAACAGCAACTCTGTTGAAAAAAGCAACTTTCAAGTCATGTCTCTAGAAAGTGCGGCATCATGAAGGCCGATGCTGTAGCTGTGTGGCCTCAGCACACAGTGGTAAGATGCTCACACCAAGCCCACAGTTCTTGCGATGGGAGTGGTGAGCTGCCTGTGACAGGAAGCCAGGCTGTGGGCATGGGGGGACGTGACTAGGTTCCCTTCCTGTGCCTGACTCACTGGTGGGGATCACAGTGACTTGTCCTTGCTTTGCCACATACCCAAACACAACCAAATCTAGTCTGTCAAGTCTTACCAGGCCTGTTGCTCAGGCACAAGCAGCCACACCAGGTGCGTTGAGATAACAGAACACTCCATGAAGTGGAGGGAGCACACACCCCACAAATTATTTCACTCAGTGGTCCCAATCCCACATCAACATCTGCAAAGTTATCTCTCACTGAAGGGCCAGATGACCGTGAGAAGGCAATTTCCTCTCAGACAGAATCTATACCCATTTCCCCACTTTCTTCTATCAGAGGCTCTCATTTTATACTTTAAACACTTTCTGAAAGTGACTTGGCTCCACATCCAAGCTACCTGCCTTCAGGAAGTATAAATTGTTCCTCCAGGCACATCTAGCACCAAACCTGAGATAATGCGCCTACGTCTTTGGTGTGGGTGCACTGGGCACTGCCCACAACAAGAAATGCGGGGGTCAGGTGGCTCCGGGGTCTCCATGGTCAGGACCCAGTTAACCCTGCCAGAGCTTACCTCCAAACCTTACCTTCCCTGGGCTACAAACTGAGATGGCACTTCTCTGGGAAAAATGACTTCTTTTGAAGAAAAAGACATCAACAGGGCCAGGCACAGTACACACTCAACACAGTTATTGAAGGAATGAATGCTTTCCCTCAAACACTGGGATTAAGGAAATACTAATGAGTCTTCTTGTTTGGGTTGGCTTGTTAAATTGCTAGTATTTTAAAATTTATGGAAAGAATTTTTGAGTTAAGTAGAATTTTGTTGGCTTACCTAAGAATCTAATCCCTATATATAACACTATTTTGCGGGGGAAATGAATTCTGAATTATAAATATTTAGTTAAAAACACTCTTTTGAATAACATATGGTAATTCGGGGAGTGCCCATTAAACGAAAATTGGGAAAAAAAATCGTGTGGTCTGCATGTTATATTCACTAGGGAAAACAAAGAAACAGGATGGGTTGTTTCAGAGGTGGCCGTGGAAGAAAACAGAGTGAAGCAGCAGTGGCGTCTCTCCTCATCTTCTATCTAATTTCCTTACCTAACTTCAAATCTTATATACACCCACATGTGTATGTGAACATTGTATTTTTAAAAAGTTTTTCAGGTTATTCTGCTGCTTGCTCTTTTGATGTAACAATATACTGAGTACAGTTTTTACCACGGTTCCATACTCGTAAGAACTGAACACCATTCCACTCAGTGGAAGAACTGGTTTAACCAACCCCCTCAGAGGAACATTTTCAATTATTATTATAAACAATGCTATCTCTTTTCCTACATAGGTTTGTGCAGTCATGTTGATATATCTTCGGGATAAATAGAAATGGGATTTCTGAGTGAAAGAGTG